GTCCTGTCAGTTGTGAATGGTTGTGGACAATTAAACGACCCCTTGGAAGAAAAGACTCCACAAATATCCTCATCTTCAATGACTGGGGAACCCAGCATGTCAGTGCAATGTTCTTTAGGAAATGCGTGCTGATGTTCCTAGCTATTATGGCTTACCTGTGACTCCGGATTCACAGCAATGGGACTAACTTTTAATTGCCCTCTGAACTTGTCCAGAGAGCCAATTAATTCAAAGAAAACTAGGGATAAAATAAACACTGGATTATCATGTGACTGAACTGGATGATCCACAAATTTTTGATCACAAAAGGCAGGGCATCCCATGAGGTACTAGTGTCAGAATGCTGAATTTATTTCCTTTTCTTTCTCTGCCACCAATCTACCTTGTAATAAAGGCATTTGGAGTTAATGCAAAATACAACTTGATGCACATGTTGTGTCATTTTGAGCTATGACATGCCATGCTGCTGTGTTTCAAGGAAAGCTTCATAATACAGTGTATTGTGTTCTTCGCCCTGTCCTACAACGTTGGCCATTGGAGAGTGGAGAAAACAGGACTGAGCAAAGGAGATGTTTTTCAGCCATTCAGACAGGGTCCCATCCATTGTAAAAACCAAAAGAACTGCAGCTGCTTTAAATCAGGAACAAAAACAAAGTTGCTGGAAAAGCTCAGCAGGTCTGTCAGCATCTGTGGAGAAGAAAACAGAGTTATCGTTTCGGGTCCGGTGACCCTTCCTCAGAACTTTGTTTTTGTCCCATCCATTGTCGTTGTCTTTGCAGTTTTGCTTGAATACTTGTAGAGCTGACTTCAAGAAGGAGACTAGCATTTGATTTGTTGGATGATCATCCTGTGAACACGAAGAATGCTGTTGAGGCATATTCAAGGTTATGAAAGGTCTTAACAAGGCAGATACTAAAACAATGGTTCCCTTTGCTGTGGAATCTAGAACAAAGGGGGCACAGTTTCAGGATAAGGGGCCAATCATTTATGGCTGAGATGAGGAGAAATTTCTTCATTCAAGGGATTGGGAATTGTTGGAATTCTCTACCCTCGAGGGCAGTGGATGTGCCCTCATGAATATAGGTAAGGTTGAGATACAGACCATTAGTGTCTCTCAATGAATCAAGGCATATGTGGTGCAGACCAGGAAAAGGAAGTTGAAGCCTAATATTGACTAAAATTATGTTGAATGATAGAACAGACTTGACAAGCTGTATGATTGTCTCTTGCTTCTACTTCCTATGTTGTCACCAGTTTAAATAGTTTAGATTCAGAACAGATCTAGCACTTCAAAACTGGACATCCATGAAGTTCTAAAGGCCATTAGCATCAGCAGAATTGTACTCAATCACAATTTGTAACCTTGCCAATAACCTTCATTATAACATTGTCATTATTCCAGGCATTCAGCCCCGGTTCAATGCAGAGTACAGGGGAGCATGCCTAGAGCAGTATCAGATGTAAAAATAAGATGTTAATACGATGAAGTTACAATGCAGGACCACATGTATTCTAAATGGTGGAAGCAGCATGTGATAGGCTACTGGATCATATCAAAGCTCCAATCCTTCCATAGTCAATCATAACTTAACAAATTGAGGAACAGGCTTCAAAAAACTCCCCATCCTCAAAGATGGGGGAGCCTGGGACATCAGTAAAAATGACAACTTCAAAAACATTTGCAACCATCAACAGATATAAGTATCTTGTGGATGATCCATCTCTGTCTCCTCCTGTGTTCTTCAGCTTTTAGATGTCAGTCTTTGGCTAATATGACTCAGTGCAATTAATTCATATCAGAATTAAAATTTGAAAGCGTTCAGAAAAGATTTATAAGCATGTTGCCAGGGTTGGAGGGTTTAAGCTATAGGGAGATGCTGAATAGGCTGGGGCTATTTTCCCTGAAGCTTTGGAAGCTGAAGAGCGACCTTATAGAAGTTCATAAAACCATTACGGGAATGGATAGGGTAAAAAGCCAAGGTCTTTTCCCCAGGGGAGGGGAGTCTAAAACTAGAGGGCATAGAATTAAGTTGAAAGAGGAAAGATTTAAAAGGGGCCTAAGAAGCAACTTTTTCACACGGACGGTGGTGCGTATATAGAATAAGCTGCCAGAGGAGGTGGTGGAGGCTGGTATATTTACAACTTTTAAAAGGCATCTGGATGGGTATATGAATAGGAAAGGTTTAGAGGGATATGGGCCAAATACTGGAAAATGGGACTAGATTAATTTAGGATATCTGGTCGGCATGGATGAGTTGGTCTGTTTCCGTGCTGTATATGTCTGTGACTCTATGAATAGCAGAGGGACTTAATAGGAAGGTACTTGTAGTAGGAGGCATTATAATCAGGTACAGACCCAGCTCTCAATAGCTGAGAAGAGTCTAGCAGGTAATGTTTTTGTCTAGCTTCAGGATATCTGCTGTTGGCTGGAAGGAACTTGCCCCGTGAGGCAGTTTCACTGGTTGTGGTCCATATAGATACCAATCACATAGACAGAGCTAGGAAGATGTTCGACTTAGGAAGTATGAGTAGTCCGGGTCTAATTTAAAATGTAGAACCACAAGGATAATAATCTCTCTCCTACGTTCTTCCTTATGAAGTTGTTTGTCTTTCCTTATTTTATTTTCCTTTTTATAATTGCTTATTAATGATTTAATAAAATTATTGTTTTAACATAATATTTGGTATTGTGTCACTCATTTCTGTTACATCCACAGGTCTACTCTGAATGTAAGTGAGACTCTTCATTGGATTCTCACCCCACTTATGAAACTGATCGATTATCTTAACTTGGTTGTTAATGTAGCCATTGGCACACACAAGTGCTTAGACTGCTTCTAATGGCTCAGTACCATTCACAATTCCTCCAATTTTACAGCAGTATGTCCCTGCATTGCAGCAAGACCTGGGCAATATTCACTTTTGCCCTGATAGTTGACAAGTAACATTCATGCCCCATAAGTATCAGATAATGTCCATCTCCAACAAAAGCAAATCCAAGTGTCTCTAATTTGCAGTCAATGGCATTATCACTGCTAACTCCCAAACTATTACCTTCCTTTGACCAGAAATGTAACTGGATTACTCATAAATACAAAAGCAGTTCCAAGATTCAGAATTTTAATGTAAGTAACTCACCTCTCAACTCTCCAACATTTGTACACCATCTACAAGTCAGGAGTGTGATTGAATGATTTCCACTAACCTGGAAGTATGCAGATCCAATAATGGACAAAGAGCTGAAAGTCACCCAGTTCAAAGTATCTCTTTCCACATCCTAACGGTACATGGAATTATCACATTATTCCTTTACTTTCGATGGGTTGCAGCAGTTCAAGAAGCAGTGCTTAACAGCACCTTCTCAAGAGCTATTGCGATGGGCAACAAATGGTCACTTTGCCAACATTTTTGAATTTTATCATGGGACGTGAGCAGGTTATGAGAGAACGTCACAAACAGATCTCTCCTTGTGCTACTGCAATAGACACAGCATGTCTGTGCCAGTGCCTTGCTAAGCAGAGGATGTCATTTCGGGATGCAGAGAGATGGTGATGTAGTGGTAATGTAATACAAAGGCTAAGGTATGTGGTCTGGAATCATGAGTTCAAATCCTAACATGGCAGCTTGTGGAATTTGAATTCAATCAATAAATCTAGATATGAAAGCTAATATCAGTAATGATAATGATGAAATATTATTGTTACATACACAACTGATTTACTAATGTCTGATAGGGAAGGAATATCTTCCACCCTTACCTGGTGTAGGCTACTTGTGATCCCAGACCCGTAGTAAAGTGGTTGATTCTTCCTTCTGAAAGGGGCTAGCAAGTCACTCAGTTCAAGGGCAATTAGGGATGGGCACTAAATGCTGGCCTTAGCACTGACACCTACATTCCATGATACAATAAAAAGATGCTGGAAGTAACTGCCAGTGTGACCTACCGCATTTTATAGCTTTGCTGAGGCTGGCACTACGGAGCAATATACTTGGGTGTAGTTTTAATGTTCGAGAGTTGTACTAATCAGGATTTGTTAAACCCAAGTTGCCAACTATCACACAAATATCATTTGTGATGTAGAGAGGGGAATATAAACCCAAACAATGGACAGGTTTGGCCTAGCATGGGTTAAAGAAAAATCAGAGGTCCAATTCAAACTTGCTTTCAACCCACTCACTTTTGACTTTAACTGGATGAAAGGTAGACAGGTGGTCATCCCATCCTAAAGAGGCAGATTAAATATAGAGGTATGAGCTTCTGTGCTCCATTCAGCTTTTGAATTTCAGCTCAAGGCAGTCTAGTCTCCTGAGCACTGGAGAACCCAGGAGCGACATCCAATAGAGGCTGGCTAAAGATCTAGGGGCTGAGTGCCTTTAAATCTACATCCTGGATACAGACAGAGGAAATCCAGTGTATGGGCATCTGTGTTTACCACTGATCTTACCACTCAATCCGACCAGATCTTTGAACCTTTTCTCCTCATTCCCACCTCAGTTTGCCTTCAGTCACCATCCCAAAGCCTCTAAACTTCTTCCCTCTCACCTTTGATCCCTGCTCCCCCCAGCACCATGCACTAATCTCTCCTCTGAGGCCACTGTCCTCCTTCTCTCACTCTGATTTCTTCCCTGAGGTTTTCCCAATAAGGCCTCATATGTTCCATGCTATGGCTGGCAGCCTACCTGATCAGCCATACCCTAGTTCCTAACCCCACCGATTGATAGTAATTATTAAAGAAAGCAGAATGAAAGCCAATCAAGTTCTTTCCAATGAGCATCTCTAACCTTTACAGTTTAACTATCTTGTATATGAGGCAATAAAGTAGTAAAGATATATTCAGCTGCTGTTTTTATTGCAGTACTTTGTGAAGCACATGTACTCGACACTCAAGTTCTTATTTTGGTTCGAAGTTCCAAAAGATTGTAAGAGTCCTGCACATCTGAAAATTCAGTTCCATTCCAGCCACAGTTTTTCCCATGCATGAACTCAGGTAGTGGTAGCTTTAAACACCCTCTGGTCTCTGAGGGAGGAATAAGCCATAAACCTCCAATCCCGACAAGAATTCTTCATCTTTCCAATCAACAGCCTGAAATATAAAAGATAAAATGGCCCTTAGAATAAAGGTTTATGCCAGTAATAGAGTATTCCTATTTATGTTAAAGATGAGCTATGTTTAACCTAGTGTGGAGCCAGGACAATGACTGATTGATTGATTGATTTATTGTCACATGTACCAAATTACAGTGAAAAGCTTTGTTTATGAGCGGTACAGGCAGATCATAGTAAATAAAGGATGTACAGATCAAAAAGACTGAGACAGAGGCATACAGGTTATATTACACAGGGTGTGCACTAGGCAAGATCAACATTAGCAAGATCAGCATTATTTGAGGCTAGGGAGTTCATTCATCAGCCTGATAACGACCAGGAAGAAGCTGTTCCTGAACCTGCTGGTGTGTATGTTCAGGCTTCTATGTCTTCTGCCTAACGGAAGAAGTTGTAGGAGGTCATTACCAGGATGCAATGGGTCTTTGATGCTGTTGGCAGCCTTTCCATGGCAGCGAGCCATGTAAATAGAGTCCATGGATGGAAGGTTGGCTTCCATGATGGTCTGGGCTGTGCACACCACCTTCTGTAGTTTCTTACAGTCCTGGGCAGAGCAGTTGCTGTACCAGGCCGCTGTGCACTGGAACAATATGCTTTCAATGGTGCATCTGTAGAAGTTGGTGAGGGACCTTATGGACATCCCAAATTTCCTGAGCTGCCAAAGGAAGAAGAGCCATTGTTGTGCCTTCTTCACTGTCGCATCTATGTGGGAAGTCCAGGACAGGTTGTCGGTTATCTCACTCCGAGGAACGTGACGCTCTCCACCCTCTCAACCACAGTTCCATTGATGTAGATGGGGCCGTGTTCTCCTCATTTTTTTCTGAAGTCGATGATCAGTTCTTTAGTTTTTCTGCAGCACGTCACCAAGACCTCTATCTCCCTTAATAAAAACCAAAAGAACTGTGGATGCATCTGGCCGTTCTGAGGAAGCGTCACCAGACCCGAATCGTTAACTCTGGTTTTTCGTTCACAGATGGTGCCAGACCTGCTGAGCTTTCCCAGCAACTTTGTTTTTGTTCCTCTATCTTCCTTCTGTACTTTGACTCGCTAAACTTCCGTCCCACTATGGTGATATCGTCAACGAACTTGTAGATGGTGTTCATTCAGAATTTGGCAACACAGTCTTATGTGTACAGGGAGTACAGTAGGGGGCTGAGGTTACATTCTTGGGCGTCTCCAGTGTTGAGTATTATTGTGGAGGAGGTGCAGTTACCCATCCTCACTGATTGCGGCCTATGGGTCAGAAAGCTGAGGATCCAGTTGCAAAGGGCGGAGCTGAAACCAAGGGCACGCAGTTTTGAGATCTGTCTGGAGGGGATAATGGTGTTGAAAGTGGAGCTGTAGTCAACGAGTAGGAGTCTGACGTAGGTGTCTTTGATGTCCAGATATTCCAGAGAAGAGTGCAGGGCTAGGGTTACGGCATCCTTTGTTGACGTGTTACGTCAGTAAGCAAATTGTAGGGGATCGAGGCGGGCTGGGAGACTGGAGTTGATGTGGGCCATGATCAGCCTCTTGAAGTACTTCATGATTATGGAGGTCAGAGCCACTGGGTGGTAGTCATTAAGATACATTGCGTATGTTTTCTTAGGAATGGGGATGATGGTGATCTTCTTGAAGCAGGTGGGGTCTATAGCTTGTAGGAGGGAAGGGTTCCGCTAGAAAAGTGAGGTTGCTTCTTGATTGTTTTCTGCATGATTGTTTAATGCCTACCTTTTTTTTCTAATTCCCCAAAGGTTCACCATACTTGAAATGTTGCAATTAAAGAAACATTTTGCTCACAAAAGGATAAATAAAAACTTGGCTAAGGGCTACAATGGCCAAATCTGGCCATTTTTGAACAACCTTAGCAGTTCTGCAAGAATATACATGAGTTGGTTAGGAATGTAGAATGTATGAGCAGGAGTAGGTCATTCAGATCATTCAATAAGATCTTTGCTGAGCTGGCTGTGGTCTCAATTCTTCTTACCTGTATGCTCCTCATACTGCTTAACTCTCTTTTCTATCAAAAATCTCTACCTCTGTCTTGAATAAATTGATTGACACAGCTTCCACTACTTTCTGGCGTTGAGAATTCCGCTTATTAATAATTCTGTGAGAAAAAAAAAATTCTCTTCATCTTAAAGAGAGTCTTATACTTAAACTGTTTCCCTAGTTCTAGCTCCCCCCCCCCCGCCCCACAAGTGGAAGTATCTCCAAAGTATCCAAACTAATAAGTCCGCTCAGGATCTTATATGTTTCAATGGGATCACACGTCATCCATCTAAACGCCAATGAATTATTAAATTTAAATTCCACCACCTGCTATGTTGGGATTTGAAACCATAACCCCCAGAGAACTCCAACCTATTCAACCTTTCTTCATAAGATAAGCCCTTCATCCCAGGATTATGTGGAATAAACTCATAAATTACAATCAGACCCTGAGAACAATGATAAAGGCTTTCATTACCATATCCAAGATGACAATACTGCAGAGGAACATTAAGCAAATGGATCCAGTATCATGCAGTCATAGAAAAACCTAAGTTCTGAAAATCTCCATAGGAGCGGGCGTGTGATAAGCAAAACACATTAGAATCACAGAACTATTACTGTGGAGAAGGATGCTATTGGTCCCATCATGTCCGCACTGGTTCTCAAAGCACTGAGCAAATCTACTTGCCTTCAAGGAAAAAGGTTTCCCAGACAAGAAATTCACTGTGCTGTAGCAGTTTTACAATGTTCAGCTGGTTCAGCCTATTACAAGACAGAAGTCAAGTCTCAGGCTGAAGACATAACACTCAAAGTCACAGATTTAGCTGCAGATCTCACATCATTTAATCAACAATGCTGGCTAACTTCCGAGCATGTGCTTTCCAACCTTTCAGCTCCAGGTCAGGTGATCCCATGTTCAACATGAGCAAGACAGTGACACAGTGTTGATGCCATCATTGGACAAATAATTTGTCGGCACATGCTAATATTCTGGGGGTTATGGTTTCAAATCCCAAAATACCAGGTGGTGGAATTTAAATTTAATAAATAGTTCTGAAATGATAAAACTAAGCTCAGTAATGGTGGCCATCTGGTTCACTGATGTCCTTAGGGAAGGAAATCTGCCACCTTCATCTGGTTTGGTCTACATGTGACTCCAGACCAACAGCAATGTGATTGACTCTTAATTGCCTTCTGTAATGGCTCAGAAAGGCACTCTGTCCAAGAGCAATTAGGGATGGATGACAAAGACTGCCCTTGCCTGTGCCCATTGACAACCTATGAAAGAATAAAGAGAAACAATGTACCCGAAAGTATCTTATTTGAGTAGTGTAGTTTTTGGCCATGTTCATCCAGGCAAGTGGAGAGTATTCCATCACATTCCTGATTTTATCATTGAAATTCACCATTGCCTGTGTCCAATTAGGTGTTACTCTGTGATGGTTTAGTTTACAGTACAGAAGGAGGCCATTCAACCCATCATGTCTGTACCAGCTCCCGAAAAAGCTATTCAGCTAGCCCCATTCTCGAGCCCTAACTCTGTAGCCCTCTTGTGTGTAATCTGCATTGGTCTGTGAATGAATTGTGGCTCATAGTTTGAAAACAGAGGGATTGGTTGATCTCAGTCAGTAGAGATATCCTTATCTGTGTTGTTATAGATTTCATCACAACATTCTTATAGTATTAGCTATAATTGTCAATCACCACTATTATGGACTTTCCTGATGAAAATTGGCTGAAGAAGTCAACTACCACATCCTTCTGTGGTCCAACTGGTAACAGTGTGCTGGTTCTGCTAGATTGGGACTGCTGACTGCTAACATTCATGATGTGCTTCAACAAATCTGGTCCACTTCTTTCTCCATTCCTGGCCACAATACTTTAATCTGTATGGTCTGTTTAGTACCAACCATTGTCAATGACCCCCACTAGTTAGCGTCACTGGACTAGCTTCTGCAGAACACACTTTCTAACTGCATTGTCAATATCATAGAGCAATATACACCTTCAATGATTACTTGTCCCAATTTCCAGCTTGGATTCTCTGTTATGACATCCAGTTCTGGATCTTTGTCTGATTCTCTTTTAATTGCCCTGGCTGTCATTGCCCTGAGTGTACCATGAGTTGTTACAAACCACAGAACAATTCATCAGCCTGGACTGAGTTTTTTCAGAGAGTTTCTCATTGAGAGGTCAAATGAGTTCTCTCACTATATCTTACCAATTAATTAGTTAATTATTAATTAATCATTAACTCATTAATTACCTATCTTGCTCCTGTAGCATCTCTCACATCCAAATTCCTCCCCATCTTACTACACACTGTTCCTGGAGCATCTCACCATTCAGGAAATATCCTGTAATTCACTGGCATTCCTTGTGCCCGTGCCATCTTTCAAGGCAACTTGACAAGCACTGTTTGTCTGCAACTGCCTTTTGCCCCAGATACAGCAAGCAGGGGGAAACTGGTACTCTGCCCTGCGAGCAGGGTCCTCGAAGTCCTGTCTATGCCAGTCCACTCTGAGATTTACCACTTGGCTAACTCACTTGTAGCTGTCTGCAGGAATGCCTAGCCATATCGGGAGAAGGTCAATGCCCTTCGCCACTCCACCAAGGTATGTGCCACTACCTTCTCCTTGCTCTCTCTTTGCTACTGTGCCCAACTCCCACCAGGGCTTATGCTCTACCACTCTCATTATTGCTTACAACATCCTCCCATTTACTCTCTCCTACCCCTATCCCTGACACCAGTAACCTAACACGCCCCCTGCACTGCCTACCTTCTGCACTATCTGGCATACCAAGTCAGCAGTAATATAAGCCTGGTATCTTTGGCTGAGGGGTCAAAACATACAAGGCATGAAGAAAATGCTTTGAGCATCCAGGTAGGCTCAAACTGACTGTGTATTTTGAGAGTGAGTAAAATGGCTGGAGATGCAGCCTGTTCCGTCCATGAGCTGGGTGTGTGATGAGTGCAGTATCCTTGCAGCAGCATTACAATGGTATTTGCCAGTGCAGTCAGCGTGCGGTGTTGAAGGACAGAAGTGCCTGGTAAATGGATTGGAGATTTGCCATTAAGATAGTAGGAGGCTGGATTATGTGGGATGCCCAATGTCCATGAACATCGGATATTTGTGACCACTGGCCACAGAGCTCGCCCTGAGGTGACTGGTGTCCATCATGCAGCAAATGGTGAGCTTAGTCCAATCGGCGTTTGCTCTAGTTTCCTTGTAGAGTTTTCCAAAATTGAGCCTGTTTGTCGAGTTTGGTAAAATGGGAGTCTGAATATTATTGAGTTGATTTGGGTTGCTCACAATGTAGTCCCCTCTACACTGGGGAGACTAAATGCAGAATAGGCAATCGCTTTGTGCAACACCTATGTTCTGTCTGCAAAAATGACCCTGAGCTTCCAGTTGTCTGTCACTTCAACACATCACTGTGTTCCCTGGCCTACATTTCTCTGGCCTGATGCAGTGCTGCAGTGAAGCTCAGCGCAAGCTGGAGGAGCAGCATCTCATTTTCCGCTTGGGGATGCTGTAGCCTTCAAGACTCAACATCGAGTTCAATAATTTTAACGTCTGAACACCCTCTTCCATGTCCTTAGCCACCCTAGTCTGTCTTCACACGGGCTGCTTTCATCACAGCCAACTCATTTTCACGTACTGATGGTTTCTATTATCAACTTTTCTTTCTCCCTGGCTCAGCATTATCAATCCCTTTGTCAATGCAGCTTCTGTTTTGTCTCTGTGGGCTCCATCTTCACCTGTCATTTACTGCTTTGCCACACCTCCTCCCCACTCCCCATCTTCAATATTTAACCACCTTTTCGTAGCTACAATCAGTTTTGAAGAAGGGTCGCTGGACACAAAACACAGACTCTGCTTTTCCTCCACAGATGCTTCTAGATGTGATGACTTTTTCCAGCAAAGTCTGTTCTTGTCTTTTTTGTTTTGGGCTGTCTGCCAGTTATTTAACAAATAATAATCAACTTCAATTGGCAACTCACTGCTGCCTAGTGAGAATCTCACCACTCCAATTCTGATTAGCACAAAAGATGATCCTACCAACTGAGCAGGGGGCCAAGGTTCAAGTCCCACCTTCTCCAGAAACGTGTACTAAAATGTCTTAACGCGTTGGATAGAAAATATCTATAAAATACCATGAGTTGGTATAAAAGATAGTAGGCGCTTGTGGGTTACATGGTGCCACAATGGTTAGCACTGCTGTCTCAAAGCACCAGGGACCCTAGTTCAATTCCAGCCTTGGGTGACTGCCTGAGTGGAGTTTGCACATTCTCCCTGTGACGGTATGTGTTTCCTCCCAGAGTACAAAGATGAGCAGGTTAAGTGCAAGCTAGGTGGAGTTTTCCCCCAACATCAAGATGCTGTACGTGCTGATTGTTCCACACATCACTCTAACCCACATTCTCTGACTTAGAGTGTTCTGAGGCATCCTATTTCTCCTGCACTGCAACCTTCTCCTTAACTAATACTGCTTTCCCTCCATTTTATCATTTCACATCAGCAATGATTATGGGGTCAACAGCATGCATTTATGCTAACACTGCTTCTAATCTTACTGTATTAAGACCTGTAATGACATTTGTTGGTGCATGTGAATCACAGTATCCCAGGGATTCACCACTTGTCCTATAAAACTCTGAATGCAGCTTTGTTTCTCATCAATCTGAACCATTCATCTTTTCTGGTCAGCTTGTGCAATGGATTAGGTTTGCAATGTTTTGGGATGTATCTTTGCAGAATAGCTCATAAATCCCTCAAAATTTCCCACTTTGCTGGGAATTTGTGATTCATGCTTCCCTTGTTGCTATCTTTGGTTGGATTGACAATGTGCTCATGGGTTTATACTCATTAGCTCTGTTGCATCCAGCAAATACTTGGTTGCATTTACCATAAATCCTACCAACTGCAATCTGGCCAATACTAGTCCCAGCTCCTCACCATGTTCCTCTATGTTGTTTCCATGAATAAAGTTGTAAATGCTGTTTATATTTAATATTGCTCAGATGACATACAGTTTGAAAAATTATGGAAAAAAAAATTCTTTTCAAGTTTTCTGGCTATACCTGGAATAGTTTCTTTGACAAAATGTCATTAAAAGTTCACTGTAAACATTGGTATTTTTTAACAAATCGCATGACATTTGGTGAGAACTGCTTGCTTTGTTGTAGACTCTGCTGGAGCTGCTTTTGAACAGTGACTATCTTGGAGAGGTTCTTGCTTTATCTAGTTCAGTTGCAGGGAAGCTTGCTAAGAACAAGCTTGACTTGGAGTAAAGCAGCTAGCCCGGCTAATGTGTTTCATTACTGTAAAGAAAATCTTCTTATTGATTTCAGGGAAACCTATTTATTCTTTTGAAGCAGTGATTGAAGGAGCATCTCAGGATTGTACTTCCTGTGCAAGATGTGTTGCAGATCTTCAGAAACAACTGTGTATGATTATGTCAAACACACACACCAGAACATCACAGCAACAGTCCCTAGAACATCTTATGTTTTATCCTTTTGTGTTCAAGAAACACCCATTGGCCACAGGCCCTTTCTTGAAGGGTGTCTGTATGTGTGTTTGTGTCTGTCTTTTGGGCATATTTATAGAAATAGGAATTTATACTTATATGTTATTAACTGTGTATGTTAACCAGCTATTGCATCTATATTGATTAAGTCCTGTTAATAAACCCATCACCGAGTTTATTAAGAAACTTGGTGGATCTTTTCGTTTTAAAGCTGATAAAGATGAGGTATTTGGTGACTTGAAAAGCATTTTGAATTTAAGTTGTGGCCTAGGGAGTAGTGGGACTAGACAGACCGTGCACTCCTCCAGCCTCAGTCATACAATAATGATATCCTCTGAGATCTCTGCTATTCTTAGAATCTCTCGTATAGCCTTACAGGTTTTGAGTTGGTAAACATCTGATGCAGCATTGATGCCAAATAACAATTTCTTGTCTTGGTAAAATCCACAATGAATGACAAAAGAATTCTTCTTCCCTGAATCAGGATGAAGCTCCAGTTGGTGGCATCCCCACTTAAATCTCATATGGAAAATATCATTCTTTTTGACAAAAAGGCTTTCTGCACAGTGGGAATTTGGTGACATGCTCCCATCAGCACTTCATTCACATGTCTCACATCAACACAGATACTGATCTTACCATCTGGTTAAGACACAATCATCCTTGGTGCTGGTCCTTCAAATGATCTTATGTTGTCTTAATTGATCTGTTCTTTGATCTTTGCCTCAACTTTCCCTTTCAAAGAAAAGGATGTTCTACGTATGGGCTGAGCCACAGACTTCACATTTGTAAGTTGTGCAACATCCCCATTCCACAAAACAATGGTCCAAATTGCTCTCAAAACTTTGCAAAATTTTCATATAATGATTCATGAATGGTGTTGAATATTGTAAAATCATCGGCGAAAACCTCCATTGAAATGATTTACTAGAATATTACTGGGAACTGGAGGGTATGAGATACAAGGAGAGGCTGAATAGGCTGGGATTTTTTTCACTGGAGCAAAAGAGGTTGAGGGGTGACCTTACAGAGGTTTATAAAATCATGCTGGGCATGGACAAAGTGAATAGCAAAGATTTTTTTCCCCTGAGGGTAGGCGAGTTCAAAACCAGGGGACATATTTTTAAGGTGAGAGCAGAAACATTTAAAAGGGACCTAACGGGCAGCTTTTTCACACAGAGGGTGGTTTGTATGCAGAATGAACTGCCAGAGGAAGTGGTAGATGCAGGTACAGTTACAACATTTTAAAGACATTTGGACAGGAACGTGAATAAGAAAGATTGAGAGATATGGGCAAAATGCAGGCAAGTGGGACTAGTTTGGTTTGAGAACATGGTCACTATGGACTAGTTGGATTGAAGGGTCTGTTTCCATGCTGTATGACTCTATGACTCGAACTCTATATGGTGGCAGGAAGGTTGTTGATGGAGCAACTGAAAATGATTGGGCCAAAGACACTACCCTGAGAATCTCCAGCCTTGATGTCCTGGAGCTGTGATGACTGACCTCCAACAACCTGAACCATTTTCCTTTGTGCTAGGTATGTCAGCAAGCAGCGAAGCGTTTTCTCCCTGCTAGTATTGATTCCAGTTCTGCCAGGGCTCATTGATGCCATATTCAATGAAATGCAGCCTTGATGTCAAGGGCTGTCATTCTCACCTTACCTCTAGAATTAAGCTCTTTTGTCTATGTTCGAACCAAGGCTGTAATGAGGTCAGGAGCTGAATGGCCCTGATGAAGCCTACTGCGGGTCACGGAGCAGGTTATTGCTAAGTACGTGCTCCTTGAAAGCACTGTTGATGACACCTTCCATCACTTTTCTGGGAATTGAGTGTACACTGATGGCCAGGTTGGATGTATCCTGCTTTTTGTGAACAGGACATCCTGGGCAATTTTTCACATTGTTGTAACTGTACTGGGACAGCTTGGCTAGGGGTACGAGTCTCCAATACCGAATGTTATCAGGGCTCACAGCCTTTCCAGGTACCAGTGCTTCCAATCTGTTTCTTGATATGACATGGAATGAAACAAATTAACTGTAAGACAGGCATCTGTAATTCTGGTGACTAATGGAGGGGCCTGAGATGGATCATTAACTCGGCATTTCTGGCTGAAGACTGGGGCAAATGCTTCAGACTTATCTTTTATGATGTCCTGGAGCTAAGCTCATATTTCACAAACAAATCAAAAAAAACTAATTTAATTTCATTGGAAAACTCCACAAATTCATATATGATTTGGAAAACTACTATGGTGATTATTTATGCATACCTTTTCAATTATAGTGGCCAAGTCATCACTTCCTGTGTATATTGTGTCTAGGACAAGGATTTTTTTGACGTTTGCTTCTTCATTTACTGCTATTCCCAGCAAAACACACGCAAAAGGTTCAGCAGCTGTTTTATTCGGTAACAACATCGAAATTAGTAAGAAGTCAGGATTTAATAAATCAGCAATAAATGTAATCATAGCAAAGAACTAAATGGTACAGGAAAAGGTCCTTCAGCTCACCAAGTCTGTGCCAATTTCTGTTTCTTATTTAGACCTGCTACTTATCGTCCATATGAGGATTCTATCCCTCTGTTCATGTGTCTATCAAGATACACCTTAAAAGTTGCTTCCGTGCCTGTTTCCATCACCTCCATTGGATGTGTGTTCCAGGCACCCACCACCCTCTGGGTGAAAAGATTTCCCTGCACTTCTCTCCTAAACTGTCCCCCTCTCATCTTGATCCTTTGCCCTCTTGTAGTTGATGTTTCTACCCTAGGAGAAAAGCCTCTGACTATCCACTATCTATACCTCTCATAATTTTGTAGATCTCTATGAGGTCACTCCTCAGCCTCCAGTAAAAACAATCCGAGTTTATCAAACCTCTCCTCATACCTAAAACCCTCCAGACCAGGTAACATTCTGGTAAACATTGTTTGCACCCTCTCCAAAGCATCCATGTCCTTCTGGTAATGTGGTGACCAGAACTGTATGCAATTATTCCAATTATGACTTGACTAAAGTTTTGTTCAGCTGTAATATTCCAACTTTTATATTTGATGCCCCAACCAATGAAGGCAAGCGTGCTGTATGCCCCTTGACCACCTTATCCCCCTGTGTTACCATTTTCAGGGATCTGTGGATCTGTACATCCAGATCCCTCAGTATGTTAATGCTCTTAAGGGTTCTACCGTTTATTGTGTAATTTCCACCTGAATTTGATCTTCCAAAATGCATCACCTTGCATTTGTCTGGATTAAACTCCATCTGCCATTACCCAAATCTGCAATCTATCTATTTCCTGCTGTATCCTTTGACAATCCTCCTCACTATCTGCAACCCTGCCAACTTTGGTGTCATCTGCAAACTTATTAATCAGACCACCTACATTTTCCTCCAAACATTCAGAAATATTACAAACAAAGGTCCCAGCACTGATCCCTACAGAACACTACTAGTTACTGATCTCCATTTCAAAAAGCATCCTTCCACCACTACTGTCTGTCTTCTATAACCAGGCCAGTTCTGTATCCATCTAGCCAGCAGACCCTGGACCCAATGAGATTCTACCTTTTATACCAGTCTGCCATGAGGTACTTTATCAAATGCCTTACTAAAGTCCACATCTGGTGCCCTTCCCTCATCAATCATTCTTGTCAGCTCCTCAAAAAACGCAATCAAGTTGGTGAAACATGATCTTCCCCGCACAAACTCATGCTGCCTATCACTAACAGATCCATTCACTTCCAAATCAGAATAAATCCTGTCTCTCAGTATCTTCTCCAACAGATTTCCCACCATTGATGTCAGGCTTACTGGCCTATAATTACCTGGATTATCTCTGTTTCCCGTCTTAAACAAAGAAACAACGTTAGTTATTTTCCAGTTCTTGCCTGAGGGCAAACATGGTTCAAAGACATCTGTTAAGGCCCTAACTATTTCCTCACAGTATCCTGCGATAGATCCCATCTGGCCCTGGGGACTTGTCTACCTTAATGTATTCCAAGACACCCAACACTTCCTCCTTCGTTATGTTGACCTGCCCAAGAGTATTCACACACCTTTCCCAAACCTCAACATCCTTCATTTCCCTCTGTTTGTTAAATAGCATCTCACCCATTTCCTCTGGCTCCACACATAACCTCTGTCCTTTATTCTTGAGTGGGCCTACTCTTTCCTTAGCTACCCCCTTGCTCTTAATACATGAATAAAATGTAGTGGGATTCTGCTTAACCCTGCTAGCCAAGGACATTTCATGGTCTCTTTTAGCCCTCCTAACTCCCTGATTGAGTTCCTTCCCATTTTATCCATATTTTTTCAGGATTTCATCTGTTTTTAGTGGCCTAGATCTTAAGTATGCCTTTTTTTTTGACTAAGCTGATAATTTCCCCTGTCATCCAAAGTTCCTGAATCCTGCCTTTCCTGTTGTTCATTTTCACAGGAATTTGCCTATCCTGAATTCTAATCAACTGGTCTTGAAAAGATTCCTACATATCATATCTGGATTTATCCTGAAATAGCCACTCTCAATCTACATTCTCCAATTCTTGCCTATTTCCATTATAATTGGCCTTTCTCCATTTTAACACCTTCATGTGAGGTCAACTCTTATCCTTACCCATAACTGTCTGAAAACTGATGGGATTATGGTCACTATTCCCAAAATGCTCCCCCACTGAAAATTTGATCATTGGCTGGGCTCATTTCCCAATACCAGGTCCAATATGACTCCTTGCCTCATTGGACTATTGGCATACAGTTTCAAAGAACCCTCCTGGACACACCTAACAAACTGGTCCTCATCCAAACCTCCAGAACTAAGGGATCCCAGTCAATATGGGCAAAGTTAAAATCACCCACCACAACAACCCTGTTATTTTCACATCTTTCCAGAAGCTACTAAGTATCTCTTTCTCTATCTCTCACTGGCAGCTGGGAGATCTGTAATACAATCTCAGCATTGTGATTGCACCCTTCCTATTCCTGAGCTCTACCCTTAATGCCTTGCTGCAAGATCCCTCCAGGGTGTCATCTGCCAACACACTGTGATATGCTTCCAAACCAGTAATGCAACTACCCCATCTCTTTTACTTCCTCCTCTGTCTTTTGGTCTAAAACATTGATATCCTGAAACGTTAAGCTGCTAATCCTGTTCCTCTTTCAAACATATCTCTGCGATAGCAACAATATCATAACTGCAAGCATTAATCCAGGCTCTAAGTTCATCTTTCTTACCTGTTGTACTTTTTGCATTGAAGCAAATACAGTTCAAGCCTCCAGTTCCACTGAGCTCAGCAACCTCTCCCTGCATGCTCTTCCTCTTGGCTATATTTACCTTAGTCTCAAGCTCTTCCCTCCATTCTCTATACTTACTGACCTGCTGCTCCAGTTCCCAACACCCCTGCCACACTAGTTTAAATCCTTCTGAGTGGCACTATCAAACCTCCCTGTAAGGATATTGGTACCGCTCCAGTTTAAGTGCAACACATATTCATCATGAGATCAACACAGATCCTGCAGTTTGGCAACAAATAAAATTTGAAAGCAAGTACCAAAATTAGTTGTAAGACTGTTACTTTAAATTTTATTCAAAACACTGGTCTTTTAAGTTCTTGATAGGAAAAACTGCTAAATAGATCTTTTGTTCCTAGTTTTGAGGTAGTCAAGATCACTGTATATATTGCTTTTTTGCAGTAACTGCTACTTATACTTCTAGAGCCATTTCAAATACATTTAATTTTATAGAACACAATAAAACAGCTCTCTCAAAATTGCATGATTAATTAACCACTTTTTATGCAGAATTTAATGTTATTTCAAAAGTTAAGAAAGAGGAAGTAACAAAATTATAAACTTACAAAGCACCACAGGAGTTCCTTGTTCTTTGAAATGAAGACTAAGATCGATTGGTTCATCAACGTCTTGTCTGTAAAAATGAAAACACTTAATAAAGTTTATCAAAAAGGAAATTATTTTTAGGAAAGAGAGCAGAAATTGGGACGGAGAAAGTTACAGATCTGTTTCTGGGAACAAGTACAGAACACCTATTGTGGAATAGAATGATCAAAGGTTTATAGCATAGAAAAGGTCACTTGGCCTATAGTGTCTGCACTGGCTGAGAAATGACACACCCATCCTAACCCCACTTGCCAGCATTTGCTCCATATCCCTGCAGGTTATAAAACTCCAGTGCAGATCGAAACATCTTTTAAATAAGTAGAGGGTTTCTGCCTCTGCTACACTATCAGCCATCCACACCCTGCAAAAGAGAAACGTTTGCCTTTTCTACCTTTTCTACCAAATGTTTAAAATCTATTCCCCCTAGCCCCTAACCTCTCCGCTGAGCTAAATAGGCCCTTCTTACCTACTGCATCCAGGCCCCTCACAATTTTGTACACCTCAATCAATTCTACCCTAAGGCTCCTCTATTCCAAGGATAACAACACCAGCCTATCCAATATTTCCTCATATCTGCACTTTACCAATCCTGACAACATCCTCCAAAATGCACCTGTACCTTCTCTTCAGCAAATGTAATGTTTTTGTAAAGGTGTGACCAGAACTGCACACAGTACTCAAGTTGTGGCCTAACTAATTATATATACAATTCCAGCATAACTTCCTTGCTCTTATATTCTGTATGTCACCTAATAAAGGAAAGCATTCCACATGCCTTCTTAATCAAGTTATGGATCTGTCCTGCTACCTTCAAGAATCTCTGGACATGCACATCCTCTACACCTCACAGTGTTGTGTATTCCTTTACCTTGTTTGATCTCCGCACTTCAAACTTCTCTGTGTTGAATTCTATTTACAACATTTCTGCTCACTTGACAAGTCCATTGTTAACTTCTTATTCTCTTCACTATCAACCATGTGGCCACTTTTTGTGTGATCTGCAAACTTTTTGATCATGTCCGTTATACTTACATCAAAATTATTATTATATAACACAAAAAGCAAGGGACCTAGGGGACTCCACTGGAAACTGCATTCCAGTCACAAAAACGCTTGTCAACAATAACCCTTTATTCCTGCCAGTGCACCAAGTTGCTACAATACATGTATCCCACTGGCTTTTTTTAAAAGCAGTCTTCCATGTGGGGCCATGCCAAAAGTCTTCTGAAATTCATTTAGACCACATCAACTGCACTATCCTCATCAATCAGCCTTGGTACATCTACAAAAACCAATTTGTTAGCCATGATCTTCCCTCAACGACTCCCTGAAATTATTCCAAAAGTTTGCCTACGATTGAGTTAAACTGACTCGTGTGTCATGCCTCAGTGGGACAGCGCGCTGGAGGGCCGGCCGCACTATTTCCAGAGTCGGCACAAATGTTAAAGATTTTATCAAATTACATAAAAGCCCCCAATGTATGTATCTTCTTAGACACACACTAACAGAAAACATGAACCAGATTTCTGCACTTAGAAGGATTACTATTTATTACAAGTATATAGATTCTAGTTACAAGAAAACAATAATGAACTGTTGACCTGTAACGTGACTAGTTAAAATTCTAAACCCCTTATAACTCTCCCTATATGTATATACACATACACAAACAGAAGGGCACAAAGAAATTTGTGTTATAGATTAAGGGAACAACTGTGAAGGCATTTCAATCACCCCCGTCCACAAGGTTCGCTGAGATAAACCTTTTGCTTGTCAGGATTTGCTGTACTTAAATCTCTCTTCTCCAGGTAATTTTCACTTCCTTGTGAAGCCCAGAGCCACTAGTTCACAAATTGTCAAATCACTGACTTATTGGTGAAAAGCAACACTTTATAGTAAACTGTTAAGTGATGATAAACTGGCTGATTTCAGGTTTCAGATTTCTTTTCTGCAGGATGAGAGAGAGAGAGAGAGAGAGAGGGGGGGAGAGAGACAGAGAGAGAGAGAGAGAGACGCCAGCTCACTGTCTAATGACAGTGGGACAATTGCACAGCACGTTACCCTAATTTCTAACAGGCAGATGTGGAGCAGTTAAGGACTGGTATCCAATTTAAATATTTTTATATCCTTAATCCTCTCCCATTTTTTATGGAGAGGTTAATATTTACATTATGCATTTTTATGACAAATAGTTTGGCATTGTTGGATTGAATTCCTCTACTTATTAGTTTTAATTATAGAAATAACACTCTCTCCTCCATATGAAGAAAACTTCCCAAACCGTCAAACACAAGGCAGTGTAGACCTGTATTCTGTGCCATGGACATATCTTTAGCACCGGTTCTGAAACAGAACATTCGTAAGTCTCATAAAGAGGGAGCCTCCTGACCCATACATGTGGAATAATCTAAGTAAAAATTGAACAAGATGTTCGAGCAAGCGATAATCTATAAAATTGTCTTTTGTGTTGGAATTTGTGAAGAACTTCTAATTAAGTGCCAGTTGGACACCTAACTGGACAATGGCAGGCCTTGTCTTAGATCAAGGGTGAACAACTCTGGCTAAAAAGCTAAGAAAGACTTCACTATGGAGGCTTCTGGTGAGACCATTTGGTGGGAGTGAGGCGGGTGAGGGGGTGTTAGGATTACCAGGTTCTAGAGTGGAGTGGGTGAAGGGGACTATTAGCCTGCAGCCATTCTGATGCTTTCAGCTCAGGTCCCAGCCCCCATGCAAACCACCAAAACTGGACATCCCCCATACATACTATCAACCTGCCACAGTCAATGCATACACAAGTTTAAAACTTTGGGTGACAGATAAGATCTGAGACAAAATGTGTTTCTAGAATGCCTAACCCAGGATGCAGGGCAAAATGCCAAATTAGGGATGCTGCCAAAAAATCCAGAATTGTTGTTCACCCTACCAGGATCATGGAAACATTTTGAGAGAATAAATAATAAATGATCATTCCTAAAAAGAATACTTTAAAGAGGTGGCAGGGGTGGAGGATTATCTCTGTAAGATCAAAAGAAAAGCTTGAATAAAATTTAATGTAGAATATTTATTACAACATGGAATACGTAACTGCAAGTGCAGTTATAATCAGAGGCTGTAAATAGACAAGAATAAAGTCATCAATATGAAACAATCAGAGAAATGGGATTGAAGAAGGCAGTTCTAGCTGAAGGGCAAGCACAGACAAATTCTAAACTTGTCATCTCTGGTACTGAAATATTAATTATTTTGTAATAACCCAAGCTAAAATGAAACGGTACATAAAGTGAAGTGCAAAGCTTTTCTCTGTAGTTTTCAACAACTTTGTTCATATCTCCTCATATAACTATACTCATAACAAGCTTCAGCTGTGTCTAACCATTTATAGCCTGCTTTACACCGAAAGGTAGACCAAAATATAACTTTAATTATCATTTTGCTTGCATGTTTTTCATACCGGATATCCTTGGTGATAGCTGATATACTAAAAACATTTAATATTGCTACCATCTGTTCAAGTGGAATCCAGTCTTTTCCTTCCACAAGATTAACAAATCCTTCATCAACTTTTGCCAATATCTGAAAATGCAAAATAAAAATAACTTATAAAGTAGCAATTCCTTATTTTACGTAAAAATTGATGCAATTTTTGCAAAATATCTGGAGTGAGGCCCTTCACCTAGACTGCTTCACCAGTGTCATGCAGTACTCTTTCTGCTTCCAGGCATCCCTCATAATCACATTAAATAAGTATTTGATCAATTTAATTATATAATGAGAGCTCGTGCAACTAAGACCATAGTACAAAGTTCATGTAAAGCAAGATGGAGTATGACCTTGCAATTCTTGCTTGTTCTACAGTGGTTCTACTGGAGGTTAGTGAAGAATTGATAGCAAAGGTTTTGATCACTTTTCTTTCCACTTGATAGGTCCTTCCGACTATACTCAACTCTCTTGCAAGTCTTCCACGTATTGGAAGTAGTGATGTTCCTGAGCATTTTGAGAACTTTCAACGTCCAAAATGCTCCCCATTTGTACATGAGTGAAAACAATTATTTACTCACAGCAAGATCCCATGTTTTGTTCCATGTTGTTCTGCCTCCTGACCTCTCAGTTCCACTGTTAAACTCAGAATATTGCTGCTGGTACTTCTGGCTCTGTCAAAGATGGTGACCCCACTGTCAACTCATTCTACTCTATGCCGCTCCCCAAAACCCTAAGCCTGATTTCCTCATCCCAGGATCTTTCTTTGCTTTTCATTCTGCTCAAAAAACCCATTCACCTCATCTGTTTTTCTACGGATTCTTATACTTTAATAAACTGCCCAAAGTCTCTAACTCTCCTAATCAATATTAACCAGGTCCTCTTGCTCACCTGAGGTCCCAACCGCAAACACTGGTTCACTATCATCTTCTCTCTGACCACCAGTTTTATTACCTTCACCTTCTCTCTCTCTCTCCCCCTGACCTGAGCCCCAGGTTTTTTGACTCTTCCCGTAGCCCGAAACTCCCAATGACATAACTACCCTTCACGTGAAACCTGCCTTCCAATCCCTATCAGCAATTGAATATTTTTCCCTTTTTTTTAAAAAATTGGATATGCGAAATGCTGGCAAGGCCAGAACTATTTACCCATCTCTAATTTCCCTGGAATGGAGTGGCTTGCTATGCCATATTTAAGTAGTTAAGTATCAGTTACATTCCTGTGGGTTTGGAATCATACTGTCATGATATGTCAAAATATGGACAATTAAGCTTCAATTCTACAAACCAATTTAATATCCAGGACAACAAGGTGCAGGGCTGGATCAACACAGCAGGCCAAGCAGCATCATAGAAGCAGAAAGGCTGACGTTTCGGGCCTAGACACTTCATCAGAAAAGGAGGGGGGTAACTTCTTCAGGCTAGGCATCCTTAGAAGAGGCTTCGCAGTGGGGTTGAAATTGAATCAGAGATAGTAGGAACTGCAGATGCTGGAGAATCCGAGACAACAAGGTGCTGGGCTGGATGAACACAGCAGGCCAAGCAGCATCATGGGAGCAGAAAGGCTGACGTTTCGGGCGTAGACCCTTCATCAGAAAATATCCGGGACTTTAATTTGAAAGAAGACACCTTTAAATGTGCAGGATGCTGTGTTTTAAAGTGGCTGTAGACGCCACCTGACTTGCCAAGGTCTACAGGAAACTACAAAAGTGATGCTGAACAGTATTGTTAATAAACAAACATAGCAAATGCTGGAGAAACTCAACAAGTCTGGCAGCATCTGTGGAGAGAAAAACAGAGCGAACATTTCAGATGAAGAAGTCATATGGGACTCGAAAGGTTAATTTTCCACAGAGCTGTCAGACCGACATGTCAAATTTCCAGCATCCACGATATTTTGTTTTTATTGGAATATTACTAAGGAACTGATTTGCATAGCACAGCTAAAACTGACAATAAGTAATAGACGTCTCATCTGCAGGAATAGTAAAAGGGAACTTACTAAAATTCACCATGCAAGAAAAGATCCTACAGACTCTTCCCTTTGTTTCAACTTTAACTTTTCACAATGGGATATTAAAATTCCTTCTTTAACAGGAATCATGTAATTGTGTACCATTAATCATTACACGACTGAAACTTACCTTGTGAAATGCTATGATTATAAACTTACCTGTTGATTACAAAAGACCGTAACATCAAGAAGGCCTGGAGGATGGAATAATAAGATCTCTCTCTCTCTCTCTCTCAATTTTTTGTTTTAAGCTTGGAGCCTATCTCTGTTACAAATTGGAATACATTATAGAGATGGAACAGTTAAAAATAAAAGAAACCTCAAGTGCCACAGCACCCACCCTAGAAAAGCACTGATTTCAGTTTAAAAGGGACTGTCTCTAGAAGAATTGACTGATTGCGACCCCATTAGAAATTCAAGACCACCCAAAGGAAGCTCAGAATATATAACACATTTTATGAACTTTAAGTTTTTCTGAATTTCACCTCCCTCTAACCCTGTAACTTGTTCTAGTTGTTTGCATGCTCATGTCTGTACAATCACTGGATTCTATATAGGCTTCACCATTTACTAATGCTTATTCTTAACTGAGTGAATTTTATTTTAAGTAATCAAACAAACTCTTTACTTGTGAGCTCAAAAGATCTGGCTGGCTACTTCTTTATAGCTTTACACATGGTCAAATACATATTGAATTGAAAAAGCACATACTTCCAAAATTCAAACTCTCTTACAACCAATCTTAAAAAATAAAAGATAGGAATATTCACCCCTCCAGAATTGATAGTAACAAAATATGGACCAGACTAGGCAAGAATGGCAGATTTCTATCCTTAAATCACATTAGTGAACCAGTTTTCTTCTTACAACATTGTTGATGTCCATCACGGTCACCATTACTGAAACTAATTTTATATTCCAAATTTATTAATTTAATTTAAACAACAACAGTGGACATGATGAGATTTGAACCTATGTTCCCAGGGCATTATCCTAGGCTGTGTGATTTCTAGTCCGGAAATATTATCGTTAATCAAACATCTCTTAAAATCACAGCTCGTATCCTCATCCTAAAATAATTCTACCTGTTTTTATAATAAGATGGAGTTGGTTTGATAGCCTTTGCTGTGTTCAGATACTTAAAGTGACTGAAGGGGTCATGACCAAAATCCTTCCTGACTGTACGTGACAGTATATCTGGCATTCACTTTACTCGCCGAAAGATCTCTTATCAAATGTAATTAAAATATCCAGCAAATCTGGTAATTTAATTGATTTAGTCTGATACTCTACGGATTAAATTTTCTAAAAGTGAACTTCTCAAATTTGTGACGACTATATTGCAATACAACTGAACTAAACCTTTGTTAGAACTGAAAATTGTATTTTTAAAAGATTTGCATAAATAAGACTAGACAAGCATAAACAACATTAATATTAGTTTAAAACAATTATCACACCTCCTGCATCTCTGTAACTGTAGGTACAGGTTTGTCGAAGTAACCCTGATAGTTGAACCAGGAGATGATAACTTGCAAACAACGGTACGGTGCACCCCACTCAGCGTCATTTTCATTGTCCTGCAAGCAGTGGTAATAGAAATAGGATCCGTGCACTACAGAAATCTGTTCCGAAGTGAATAAAACATAACATTTATACGTTAAAAAGTATGTAATTGAGTCAAAATATATACTTCCCCCATCTTACAATAATACATGTTTTCTAAAATAATAAAATATTTGAATGACAAAATTTATTTTTGTGGCTATTTTGCCTTACTTAAACAATTTATAGTACTGTAGACTTAGATATGTACCTTGAACTCATTAGGGTCAGGAGATGGAAGGTACTTATGCACATTTCTCAAGTACTTAATTTTCATCTCATCATATGGAAAACAAAAAGCCATAGCACGGCGGAAGAAGGGTTTATTGTCTAGGCCAAGTTCAGCATGCAACTCCTGTACACATCAAAAAATGCACAACGTTTGAATTGCTGATTTCATAAGATCCTTAGATAAATTATTTTTACAAACTACAGAAACAGTGCTATCTTAAAACTACAAAGAAAAATCCACAAGATTCTAATTTCTGCAATAACTTGGTTGTCCTTACTGTAACCTAACTAATAATAATCATATATCTGGCAACTACTACAGCTGGTGCTATACTGGTTAAAAATGTCTCCAGAGGTGGAACCGCAAAATAATTTCCTGTAGGAAACGTACAGGCTGCAGTTCCACACTATCCTGTTGCTTTATGAGAATGTCCCATCACATCCAAATATCCACAATGGACTGCAATCAATAATGCATATAGCAAGGGATGCTATGAATGGTAGACAGGCCTGGTCCTTTGCAATGCGCTGAAGTTTGAATCAAATAATACAAATCAAAACATGGAGAGGAGGACGACTTCCATTGTAATGTTCCAACTTTGGAGGCTTTGATATTGCTTATTTTGAGTTAGGATAAAGAAATTTGCCTAACATTTTACAGAAGAAGTTTTCATAGAAGTAAAAGGACACATCATATTTACCAATGTCCCATGGCAGGCTAGGCAGTGCCAAGACTTCAGGCCATCAAACCATTGAATAATCATAATTGGAGTTTAATCCATGCAATGGCAAAATGGAAGATTTGCTGCCAGTATTGCCTTAAATGCAGGGCTATCTGGAGCCAAGACAGAACACACCCTGTCCTTTAGGAACAGGAGTAGGTCATTTAGCCCCCTCCACCATGCAATTTGATTAAGGCTGATCTGTATCCCAGATCAATTTACATGCATTTTCTTATATAACTTAATACATTCACCTAAAAGTAATTGATCTGTTTTGAAAATTCTATTGTCCCAACATCCACTGTCCTTTGGGAGAAATAATTCCAGATTCTGAAACCCTTTGTGTTAAAAAAAGTGTTTTCTAATTTCATTCATGAATAGTTTACTCTAATATTAAGTTTACTGCAATATAAGAAAATAATTAAGGGCAGGAATAGGTCATCTGGTCTCTTCTCAGCTTTTGAAAACATGTCATATGATCATGACTGATCTTCTACTTCTGTTTCAACTTCCTACATTATTCGCATATCCAAAAATCTTTCAGTCCTTATCTTGAAAATTTTGAACATTTACACATCCATAGACTTGTGTGGTAAGGAACTACGAAGTCTGACAGATTTCTGATAGAAGAACTTTCACAGCACTTCAGTCTTGGCCTACCTCTGAGACTATGATCCCAAGTTCTAGATTACATCCTAGCATGAGGATATATCTCTCCAGCATCTACCCTGTTAATGTCTTTAAGAATTTGACATGTGCTTCAATTATAAGCTTTCCATTTCCCTAAGTTCAAGATAATATACTTCCCATGTACCCAATCTCTCCTAAAAGGATAGCGCCATTGTCCCATGGCTTGGTCTGGTGATCCTTTGGAACTCATCTCAGGACAAATATGTCCTTATTAAGATAGGGAGTCCAAAAACATTCCAGATGTGGTTTCACAGGCCCGATACAGTTACAGGAAGACTACTTTGCTCTTACACTAGTTTCTTTGCAACGAAGATTTTCAAATCAAGTGCTTTTTGAATTTACTTGCTGCACTTCCAGGTTAATTTTCTGTAATTCCTGTACAGAATTATCCAAGTTCCTGAAAATACCTTGCTCTTGATTCGAACAAATTTCCCTGCATCAATCCCAACAAATACTTTTAACAGCTTAAGCACTTCAATCAGGTTGCCCCTCAATTCTTTAAATCAAGTTTATGGAACATGCCCTTAAAATCTAACTTTATTAAAACTTGGAATATTCAATATATAAAACTGGTCAATTATCAAAAGTATTGTGGACCTGCCTGGCTTGGCAAAGATATAAAAATGCTGCCATAGCGAAGGGTGGCTTTATTCCAAACCTCATTCAATAGGCAACATACTATGCTTTTTCCTTGAAGCAGGATAATACTCTCAGTTGATGCCAGGCTAATAAGCTGATGACAGTTGCTAAGGAATTGATATCTCCCAGAAAGTAGCCAGCAAGTAGATAGGGTGGTAAAGGAAGGTGTATGGCATGCTTGCCTTTATTGGTCGGGAAACTGAGTTCAAGAGTCAGGATGTCACATTGCAGCTTTATAAGTCTTTGGTTAGGACACATTCAGAGTATTGCGCTCAATTCTGGTCGCCACATTACAGGAAGGATGTGGAGACTTTGAAGAGGGTGCAGAAGAGGTTTATCAGGATGCTGCATGGATTAGAGGGTATGAACTATAAGGAGATGCTAGAAAAACTCAGGTTGTTTTCTCCGGAGCAGCGGAGGCTGAGGGGAGACTTGAAAGAAGTCTATCAAATTATGAAATGCACAGATAGGGTTGATAGTCGGAACTTTTTCCCAGAGTTGAAATATCTAATACTAGGCAGCAGACATTTAAGGTTAGAGGGGGAAAAGTTCAAAGGAGACATGAGGGGTAAGTTGTTTTACACGGAGTGGTAGGAGTCTGTAACACACTGTCAGGGGTGATGGTGGAGGCAGATACAACAGGGGCATTTAAGGGACTTTTAGATAAGCATATGAATATACAAGGAATGGAGAGATATGGACCAATGGTAGGCAGAAGGGGTTGGTTTCATTCGGCATCATGTTCAGCACAACATCGTGGGCTGAAGAGCCTATTTCTGTGCTGTACAGTTCTATGTATGTTAATGTAAGTACAGTGGTTTTTCCTCTAAATGTATTGTGGATAATGTGAGTCATTAAGCTATAATAAAGCGTAAGAGAGGCAAGATTAGAAGAAAACAATTTGGAAAGTAATTTATGGTTGCTCAAGAAACAAGCATCTCATCGCATCCAAGAATTTTATTTAATATTGAGCATATATTGTGTTTAGGGTACCATGGAATTTATTTTCTGAGGAAATGTTATGTCAAAAAACCATTTTCTGTTGAGAACCAATAGAAGCACATTTTGGAAAATATGAGAAAAAGAACTGATTGTGCCATTTAGCAAAACTGAGCATCAATCGAAAATTGTCAAAATAAATTACTCCTTTAACCATTTAGCAATTCATAGACAGGCTGTAAAAATGCAAAAAGTGACCGGGATTCCAACCTTACTTTTCGTTGTGTTTCCAGAGTTTCATCACTGACTCCAGCAGGGTATATTACTGTCGTAAGAGTAGTTTTCTCCGGCAATTCAAAGTGGAATGGTTGTGGCATTGGAACTGTCTTTCCATTTGTATATCGCTGAATACATTTGTCCATCGCAGATAGCTGTGCAGTAACGGCATCCACAAACTGATCCTGTATCCTGTCAAAACCATCATGTATAGTCACCATTAAAGACATATCCTAAAGAACATAATTTGATATATAGCATAGTACAGCAAGAAACCTAATTTCACTCAGAAACAAAATTATGTTTTGAAGTAATCTAGCTTCTCTGCAAGCTGCAGCTTTCTCTCCGAGTAATGACTGAATCATTCAAGTTGAATATCTTACGCACACTGCGTAAACATGGAAATGATGGTATATTTTCCTTCCTGTTTCTATCAAATTCCTCCAATTCAAATTTCACAATTCAAGCCTGCTGCTAAATATTGGGTGCAGAAACATAATTAAATCTGGAAATCTGATCAAAGATCTACCCGAAAAACTGAGAGAGACCCAGTTTTTATTTGAGATTTCTGGCATTTCTTTGTTTTCTGGATTTTTATACTTTTTTTTAATTATTAAGAGACGTGGAACTCATCTCCAAAATGTGCATCTAAATAGGGTAGGACTAGGTACCAATGATTGCTGGACTTTCATTTTGGAGATGCAAATCACAAATTGGCCCATTTCCCAACGTCACAACTGATTGATTGGAATAAGAGGTTGGTGGGAAGATCAGTAACTAAACAATGGGCCACCTTCAAGATAATGTTTAGGGTACAGTTGAGGTATATTCCTTCTAATGCAAAAGGTAGGAAATTTTAAAAAATGTAGAGTTCCCCAGAATACCAAGGAGGTGGAAATTAACATTAGAACAAAAAGGTGTGCCTCTGACAGGTGTAAAGCTGAAGATACAATTGAGAAACAAAGGAAATACCAAAAGTTCAGAGGGACGTGAAAAAGCAAATAAGAAAAGCAGAGAAACTGTGAGAAAAATTAGCAGCTAACATAAAGGGAAATCCCAAAGACTTTAATGCTGATAGTTGGAAACTTTGGAAACAATTATGCAGGATACAATCAGTAATAACATGGTAAAAGGTGTTTGATTAGGAAGAGTTACTAAGGATTTCTAAATGGGAAATCATTTTTAACTAACTTGTTGGAAGTTTTGTGAAGAGGTAATGGAAAAGGTTAATGAGTGTAACATTTACGAAGTGGTATAAATGGATTGTGATCTGATACAGTGCCTCACACCAGACTTGAGAGGAAAGTTGTAGGTCATGGTATAAAAGAGACAGTGGCAAAACGGATACGAAGTTGGTTGAGTGGCAGAAAACAGAGTGATGGTCAATGGATATTTCAATTTAGAGGAAATGTTTGTAGTGGTGTTCCCAGGGGTCGGAATTGGGGCCCTTGCTCTTCCTGTTATACATTAATGATCTAGATCTTAATGGAACTGGGGCAATTTCCAATTTTCTAGATGACACTAAAGTTGAAAGAATTGTAAAGTGGAAGAAGAATAGTGTGGAACTCCAAAGGGAGTTGTGGAGTGGGCAGATAGGTAGCAGATGATGTTCAACACACAGAAATGTTAGGTGATGTACTTTGGTTAGAAGAACACTGAAAGACAACATAAAATAGGGGCTACAATTCGAAAAGCAAGGATGATGTGAGAAAAATCTTTTTCACACAATAAGTTGCTAAGGTATGGAATGTATTGCCCAGAAATCTGCTGGAGGCAGGTTCAGTTGAGGCATTCAAGAGGGATGGTAATGGTGCACAGGGAAATGTGGAAAAGGCTGGAGATTGGCAGTAGATAATAGAGCCAGACTAGCTAGTACAGCTGGTGCAATCATGATGGGCCAAATTGTCTCCTTCTATGCCATAATTCTGTGATTCACTCAATGAGAAAACAAAACTGAAATCTTGACATGTTCACACCTAACTCAGCTGTGCAATATGGCACTGAATGAAGTGTTGGTGGAGTCAGTTACTGTTTTTTCTATTTGGGGCAGAGTGCAATGGTTTATGTGTGAGGCTCTGCTAGGGTCTTAATCAAGCATCCACTGGATGTAGACTGCCACCCAAAAGCCATCAAATTGGTTTGTTTTGAAAGGTGATTCTTGTGGCTATCATGAACATATCAAATGATAGCCTCATACATCATAACTGATTGGTACTTTGTTTCAATTGGCCACCTGGCACGTCAGATGTGCAAAGCTGTTTCTGTATCACTTTTCATACCTGACACGGACGACAATACTTCAGAGCTGTAAGCACATGTAACTGTAAGTATCCAATTACATGCTCTATAGGGTTTTAAGGCTGGCTACGTTTGGGAGGAAGTGCTATCACATTGGATATGTGCCTGCATTTAACACAACCAATGTAGTATCGGCACTTTAGTCTGCAACTTACTTCTGTACAAAGTTACAGAGTTCAAAGCTCTTTGTTGAGGTATGACATTGATCTTCTTACGACATTGATCTTCTTGTAAAGGCGAAGCCTTCATGACAGACTATGTGAAACTATAGCATGTGGTTTCATTGTGAATGATGTGGGAGATCAGAAGGACCATCACTAACCTGCTGCTCTCATTCTGATATTCGCCACTGATTGTGTGCTCACTCACCTGAGGTAAAACCAGTACTCAGATAATATATTGTGGCATTGTTCACCATGTGATACTAACATCAAAGAAAACAGCAATTGGAAGGCCAACACCAAGTCCAGGAACCTCCAGCAGCTCCCTTACAGCTTCCAGAGGGAGAAGCAGCAGCTGAAGACCCCACAAAAAGGTGAACAGGAATGATCAAAGGCTGAAGACCACAGGCCTTGCAGCCACTATCTAGAGCTGTCAGAAACACAATACAGGAACATACAAGGGATGCTCTGAGCCATCATTACCAAACTGCAGCAACTGTTGAAACAAGACTTCCACTCCATTGCAATAGCTGGCAATCTTATCCCAGTGCCCATCAAGGTCACAGCCGAGTTGTTTTTTTAAGCTAGTGGAAAGAAAGAAGGGACAGCTGTAACAGTGTTGGAGAGGGGCAATGCCTTAGAAAGATCATAGGAATTTGACTGAACTGACTTAGACTGAATTTATTTGGTTGCAATAAATAAATAATACAGGAGCCATCACACTACAGGGTGCAATCTAGAAGCCACCAACTGTGATTCGTACACCACGTGGGAACTTCAGAACACTCATGTGACTTGGGAACAACATATGCAGAAAATGTTTCCATCTACTTGACCTTAAGCTGAGGATTTCCAAGTTTGAGGAAACACCTGTTGTCAATGCAGAGCATCAAAGAGGAGGAGAGTTTCTTTTTATATTTGCTCATGGAACTTGGATGCTGCTGCCTGGCCAGAATTTATTGCCCAACCCTGGCTACCCTTGAACTGAATGGATTGCTGGGCTATTTCAGAGGGCAGTTGTGAGTCAACCACGTTGCAGTGGGTCTTGAGTCACATGTGAGCCAGACCAGGTGTGGATGGCAGATTTCCTTCCCTGAAAGATATTAGTGAGCTGTTGAGTTTCTTGGATTGTATGTTCCACAAGTGATGAGTCCACAGACAGTGAGAGGTCAGAATGGTAGATGGTTAGCCCTCCAGAATAGCAGGAAATGACAAGAAATGTGTGTATTTGGAGTGTGTGCCACTCTTAAGTTGGTACACAGTCTGGGAGTGACATTTTGGAGTACAGTCTCTACCAATAGGCATCAGTGGGCCAGGGACAGCCCAACAACACAGGGAATAGGAGCAGGAATAGGCCATTTGGCCCCTCAAAGATGCTCCACCATTCAAAAAGATCACGGCTGATCTGCTCCAAGCCTCAAAACCCCCTTTTGTGCCAACATCATTATAGACATCTGCTTGTAAATATTTCAAAAATTTATCCACATCGTCTTTAAATACTTTTAGTGATCTGGCCTCCACAACTCTCCAGGGTAGATAATTCCAGATATTCACTATCCCCTGAGAGAAGAAATTCCTTCACATCTCAGTTTTAAATGAGTGCCCCCTTATTCTGTAACAATGTCCCCTAGTTCAAGATTCCCACACGAGTGGAAATATCTTCCCAACACCTACTCTGTCAAGCCCCTTCAGGATCTTGTATCCTTCAATAAGATCACCCTTGTTCTTCTAAACTCTAACAAATAAAGATCAGGCCTGTTTAACTATTCTTGATAAGTCAACCCTTCAATCCTAGGAATCAATCTAGTTAATTCCTTTGTTGAGCAGCCCTTGGTAGGAGGTGGCACAATATGGCCACCCCTTGGCATAAATATGGTAGAGATTTTTAGCTGCAATAACAGAATTAGCTTGCCTGGTTTAGTATTAGAGTGAGATCACAAGTTAGCACAATAGTGGCTTTGAGAAGGAGATAAATCCAAGGTAACAGGGTCTATTTTGAACAAAGAATCTTGCAAACTAATATACAAATTAATCTTGCAAATTAATACTCATTACAAACCATGGCTGCAGGTGTCTGTAAGAGACAGTCTGATAAGAGATGCTTGGGAACAGATAGCCTGAAGTTTGTAGTTTAGCAAAAATTAAAAGAAAAAGTATGATCCCACAATAACAGAGAAAAATGGTAAGTTAAAAGGAGGACAAAATTATGTCTTGTAAAACCCTAGAAGTTCAGACAAGTTCAGTGAACTGTGACAGTGATTTAGTTTCAGTCTTATTGATGGAATAGATGTTGTCTTATTAGGTAAAAGAGTGAGCATAGAAATATTTAGAGGAGCTCAGTAAATTTCATCTTAAAAGAAGCATGTGAGAGAATGAGTTATAGTGCAACTGGAAGATAGAGGGGTAGTGTTTAGCATCTTTGAGAGTCTCCTGTGATTAGGACAGTAGGAAATATGAGTAATAGAATTTGATAAGGATAGCGATGAATAATAGAATTCGATTGTTCCTTAGAGATAAGCAAGTCTGGGAAATATCTGAAAAAGAATATAACTGTTAACATTGGAATATAAATTAATGGGCTACATTGTAAGATCCCAAGACCAGATGGTAACAATGTCTAGTAAACATCATGCGATCATGGGGAGTCTATAGCTGTCAATAGAGGTGTCCGTCATTGATCAGGGGTCTCACAGGATTGGATGTACAGATTAGGGGAGAAGGAAAATGACATCA